CGGCTCAGGGTTGACTCAGTCTTCCATCCTTCCGAGGTGGGTAAAATGAGGACCCGGACTGTGGGGGCAATATGCTGACTCTGTAAACCGCTTAGAGAGGGCTGAAAGCCCTATGAAGCGGTATATAAGTCTAACTGCTATTGCTATTGCTATTAAAGAATCAAAAAGTGATTGAAAAGATTAAGTTTCGTTGAACACTGAGGCCATAAAAGCTTGATGGAACCCACAACTCCCAGGTGATCACAACAGGATGCAAAAATATCTATTTCTATCGGTTACTCACAAAAATCAGCAGCCCAGAGTATTTGTGGGCAATCTCTAGTTATTCAGAGAGAATTTTGGCAGTCTATATCCCACATCAACCTTTTGGCCTTTTTACCCTAATGCCCCTTCAATCTGTGTAATGGGAAAAAATGTGAGTGTTAGTTTGCCTTGCCTCGCTAACTTTTAAACACACCCTTGGGGAACAGCCTTAATGGCAACAAGTTGAGCATAGACGGCTTGCCAACTTTTGTGAGAAGAACCATTCAATACCCATCACATCGCATCACAGATGCTCAGATTTTGAACCACATGGAAAATTGATAGTACAGAAAATTTCTCATAGATGCTCAAATTTAGAAATGGTTGAATGACAGATGGTGAGGTTATATTACCTTATACTAAAAAGAAATAGAAAGAAAATTGAAAGGAGCTAAGTAGAAGGACCATTCCCTGAACTATTTCCATTTTTGTTCTTGATTTAGATCTGAACAAGTAGCCTGGACTCTCAAGGGCTGTATCTGCAATGAAATATATCTTTCTTTAGAAATCAAATGCTCCTGCTGTTCTTGTCTTGCTTTAAAAACATTGCCTTGCTGTAGCTCAACTTGCAGGTGTTAACCTTCTCTATTATTAGCCCCTTTTTTCTTGTAACGATTGGCATCCATTTCTGTCAAAGGGTGGCATAATACAATGTGATTATGCACAGCTGTGATACATATGGCTTGAAACATCAACACTTTTGAGGAGCTTTGTGAAAGCAATTTGGAAGGTTACCATGGTTTTAATTTCTGTTCATGTTGATTGATGAATCGCATGTGGTATTATCAGTCTCGGTTACTATTCATTAACTCTTTCTTCAGATGCAATTTGGCCTCCTTGCTTACTGTTGCATTGCATGGGAAACTGGAGTACTACACCAGCATCATGAAGGACCTCTTGGTAGATCTCATTGATGCTTCTGCTTCTAAAAACCCCAAGCTTATGCTGAGAAGGACAGAATCTGTGGTTGAGAAGATGCTGACCAACTGGATGTCTATCTGCATGTACAGCTTCCTCAGAGTAAGAAACTGGGAAGTGAAAACTTCCCTAATTGTGGCAGGAATCCTTATGGCTGTGTATCAAAAAGACTGGACATTTAAGACCTGGCAATATATAGTTTTCCATTTTATGCACTTTAATACTGGTTGTCTAATAGATCGTTATCTAATACTCTGTATTGTCAAAACTGACAAAACAGAAATATCACTTTCTTTTCTTAAAAAAATAATAATACCGTGTTGACCACCGAAATAAGCACTTATTTTTGGGGAGGTCTTATTATTTTTGAGGTGCAAGAGACGGCGAGTGTGGTCACCTCATGGTTGCTGCTGTATTGCAATATTTTCAGGGAAGACTTATTTTGGGGGAGGGCTTATTTTAGCACATCACTCAAAAGCCCAATTAGGCTTATTATCCAGGGAGGTCTTATTTTCAGGAAAACAGGGTAGGTCCTGGAGAAAGTTTAACCCTGAAGCGATTAATTTAACTTTAGGACAGGTACCATTCCATCATCTTATTATGATACTTCAAATCACAAGAACAGATAGTGTACTAAATTTGTCTGATATGTCAACTTGTGTCTTGATTCTATTGGAGGATTTATCAATATCATTTGGAAGTTTTGCATAGCATTTTAGTTGTTTTCCATTCAGGGGTCGTTGTATTTATGCAGTTTTCTACTACTCCACAAGAACAAAATAAGTTAGATATGTCATTATTACTCAACCCTCCCAGGAACATCTTTGGACATGTAAGACTTAGGGTTTGTGAGCTGCCTGGACCACCCAGAAAACTGAGGAACTATTAAATTGCTAAAACTAATACAAAAGCAGCTGTGGCAATTTAAAAATACAATGTATTTGAGCATTTGAGTAAAGATTTCAACAAGCAATAACTGCTTCAACACTGCAGGGGAATTCATATGTTGCAATACATGGAACATCACTTTTATCATTGTAATGTGCATATCAAGAGAAGGCCTTTCCGTAGGGCAACTTAATTCTAATATTTAGCAGAGATTAGCTTTTCTGCACAAAAACAAGGTTTCTAATTGGTGATGCTAGGAATTTCCATATTTAGTTCTTTATTGTTCAGATTTTGTTTCAGAATCACTCCATTTTTTGTAAAAAAAATAATTTAATTAAGACTACTCACATTGGCCACATTTCTCCTCAAGAAGTTTTATCTGCTTTTTAGAAAACTGCTAATTGGTTTTTCCATAATCAGGCCAACCTAATAAATTCAAGTGTAAACTGCAGCCATTTATGCAAATCTCAGTAATGGGTTCAACTTACAAATATTGTGTATATAATCTTAGCAGATACCAGCTTTCAAGAAATGCTCAAGTTTTAGTTTTCTTTGAAGGATTAAGTTCAGAGACTTTTTCAGAGGTAACTTAATTTTAAACCATGCTCACCCTAATTGTCCATTGTCTTCATACACTGAGGATTCCTCAGCTATTTCTCTAATTCCTATAAAATTATTTTGGGAATCCTTTATTTGGTAAATACTCTACAAATGCGTTTACAAGTTTTTCCCACTAAATTATGCCAAACATATTTTGATTTCCTGGGGAAAATTTATTAATAAGAACCAGCCTGAATTTTTTTAAAAATTCTGAATAATATGTATTCAGTTATCCTTCCATATTTACATTTCTATGAATTTTATTATGCAGTACTAACCAAGTCAAAAATGCATAACAGTGTGAGAATATTAAGAGCTGTTTACACGGGTTCAAGGATGGGTGAAAAATGTTGCCAGAAATGAGAAATAATTTTTATTTGCATAAATCTATGTACAGATTTTTCACTTGTACACTTTTTGGCCTGATTTTATCTTTTTCCATCACTTGTATTTTTATCACTTTTTGCATTATTCTTACTTCCAAAGAGAATAGTGTGTGTGTGTGTGTGCGCGCGCGCACGTGGAAACAAAATAGAACATATTGTACCTTTTAAAAAAAGATTGTTAAAAGTAAAGCATCCATCTATGCCAGTGCTCAATTCTCTCAAATAAGTGTTTCTGGGACTGTCATTTTAATGTACACAATGTTGACTCCTTCCTTTCTTTCATTTAAACATTTACATTATCTTTAAACAAAGATTGTGGCATAATTGCTCTAATTACAAAACAGCAACACTATAAAATACATTTATCTAGAATTCCCCCATTAAAGAAAACATTTATACTATTTAATTATAGACATAGAGAGCCTAACCCTAAAATTTAAATCAGGTTATTCCTGTATTAATTTAGTTAGTAAATTTATAGAAACCCCCCCCCTCTTAATATCATGACTCACAATGAAAACAACAAAAAACAAAAACAGAGTAAAAATAAATAAAAATAAAGTAACAGCCAGAGAGAACTTATAATCACTGAAAGAAGTGGCTTCCCATGTTATCAGGGACAATGTTTTTAGTGCAAAACGCCATTGTATGCTTGATATTAACTATTCAATAAACTGGGAATGGGGGAAAGTAAGAAACAAGTTGGGTTTAAAAAAGATTCTGGTGCTAAAATCTCCTGATCTTGCATAAAGTCATTGTAAGAAAGCAGAAACCTCTCTTGAGAGAAAAGAACTCTGTTGGAATCCGATACCACCAAAGCTGACTGCCTAATATCTCCTGAAGGGGGATATAAAGCAACAGTATATAATTTTCTGGAAGGAAATCAAGTTTTATCCTATGGGATTTGAGTAGGATATCTTATAAAAGAAATTAATATCTGCAGCTTTCAGGCCTCTTTTTCTTTCAATTCCTTAATTCCAGTACAAGTGAAGAAAGAATTGTGCCTTGACTAGCATTTTTAATACTATAGATCTTATTTTATGATCATATGAAGGGAGGAGACTTGTTTGAAGGAAGTATTTGAAGCACATACGAATGATAAAAGATAAAAAGGTTGTAGTAGGAAACTGAAATACAGTTTAAAATCCTGACCATTAATCTAAAACATGAAGTATCTTTGTGCATCCTGCCCCCCTTCTTTTAAATCTGAGATTGTCCTAGCTATAAGAAAGGGGGGGGGATTTTATACACAGACATTGATTCTTTATGGAAGGTGTGATAATAGAGTATTTTTTTGTATTTTGCAGGGCAATATGATTGGCTGAATCTGAAATAGCCTGCCAGTAAACTAGACAGTTTGAAAGAGCATTGATTTTGATAAGAACAAGACAATGCTATATTTCTTTCTGGTGTTCTTGTTGTGTTAAAGCTCAGTGTACATATGTACCTCAATTAGCAACCATTTGCAGTTACAACAGTGGTGAAAAAATATTTTTACGGCACACTTACCACACCCCGTAAGCATATAGGTTGAATAATTGAGGGGAGAATATGTATCAGAGAGTGCTGATCTAACTTCATCTTGTAATATTAGAGGTTTTTGTAAGTATGGAATATTTCCTAAAATATCTTGGGTGTTGACATCTGTACTGTATAGAATCTCATATACTCTTCCATCTTTTTTGAATCAGATACTATCTGTCCACTAACATCACGTAGCACGCTAAATTGAGATTGGAAAATCCATCTGAGTTCAGAAATCTTTTGGAAGACTTTCTAGATAGTTCTGTGTCTGTTTCCATTCTCATCATCTTTATAGATGTCATAATGCTGCTTCTTGTTTCTTCTAACAGCCTGTGGAATTCTTTATTATGTTCCTTCAAGAGATTGTTGTCTTTCTTGGCTTTGGCTTATCTTCTTGGCAATTTCCACCATGGGTTCAGTCATCTAGTTACTTGCTTCTGTGGTTTTTTAAAAAAATCTTTGACAGTCTCTTTTCACATTTATCCATAACAACTTTATTTGTTTTCATTCCACAATTCCTTTGGTTCCCTATCAGTGAAACACCAAACTGATTACTGATGTTTTCCTTGAAAATAGTGAGTATATGTTCAAAATTGTATCATGGAAACATGGCTGGCTGTCTTCTACTTTTGTTTAACTTGGAAACTACACATGAGCAATTTGTGCTCTCTTTGACAGTAAGACGCAGGCTACATCTTTGGTATTATCACTGAACTCTGTCTCTGCATTAATAGTATACTCTATTTCCGGGGAGGTATTCACTTATTTCCCCTACCGGTTTGCAAATGTGAGCATGCGCGCACGTGCTCGCTTCGCTCGCACATGCCCCATCGATGCATATGTACGGCCATCCATGCATTCACTTTGCTCACACAGACGGCTTGCACGAATGCGTGCGGCTTGAAAATGTGCCTAAATAGGATGGCATAGAGCCGGGGCGGGTGGGCAAGCCCACCCATAACTTCCACTACTGGTTCAGGCAAACTGGTCCAAACTGACTGAATACCCCCTCTACTCTATTTGATTTCTCTTTACTTCATCTGATATTGTTAAAGTATATAAACATTATTTTAGTTGTTTAAGTTTGGCTTAGCAATGAAGAAATGACTGGATTGGCAGAAATTATCACCCTATTTCATTTTGGTTTTCTTGGCCATATAGCCTCACTATATTTTCTTCCTTAATGTTTCTAATTTTGGCATGCCAATCATGAACCTCAAACAAATAATCTTACTAGCTGATGTTCTGTTTATTTCAAATTGAATGTGGCTATAAAACTCATCACTTCCTCTTCTTCATCAGTGGTGAAAACATAAACTTGTCATCTTAAAGAGATTTCAATGAAGAATGATTTATATTAGTTGGTTGCTGAGTACATTGTGGACAAGCACTGTTTTTGCTTTATGAAACCATTGCCATTCCTATTTTTTTCCCATATCCTGAGTATGATCTGACCTAATGTGTACAATTCCAGTCCATTACAATCTGTGGTTATGTAAAATATCAATGCAGAACTGATTCATTTCTTCTTTCACTGTATTGTGTTTTTCCATTTTCATACTTCTTAAGTTCTATGTTTTCATTGTAATCTTACAAGTTTGAATTTTCTTTTTCTACATGGCAACATCAGTTTTAATCTGGTCATATATTAGTATTTATATCCAAAGTATTTATATCCAAAGGATCCCTAGGTCCTCTTTAAAA